CTTACTTCCTGGTGCCTTTTTTATTTAAGCCTTATCACAAAAACAAAATGGCCGACAGGCGGCATCTTGGATTTTACAGTGAACGATTATCATCACTCTTTCATCAGAGGAAATTTTGAATATCTTGTAAGTAAGAGCAAAAGCATAGAGAGAGAAAAAAGGTGGGGTGGGGCACTTTTAAAGAACAGGTAAAAACCAAAAGATGGTTTACACCAATATCTCTCTGGGATCTCAAACATGACCTTGTCGTACGTCGATCACTTCTGGTGAGCTATTTTTGTGTTATGGTGCTTTGTTAATCCGGGTTGTGGTTTGACGCCAAGTATACAGTTTTATACAGAATGAGAAATGTAACGTGTCACGAAGGTATGAATCGGACACGGAAGATTTGCCATTTTGTCGCTCAATGGTCTTCGTCCGGACGTCGGAGCTTTTAGACAGTTTGTGACGTATATGTCACAAGACTGTGACTAGGTAAGACTTATATTAGATTTTGATCTTCATCGCCAAATCGAGTTCACTGCTCTGAAATTTAATTACTATTAGACGTTTATAATTATAAGTTAATTGAATTTCCCTATGCACTGAAAGGCATGAAAACAAAAAATTGTGGCCGTTTAGGTATCTCGAATATTTGGCTTTATGACTTTTTCATATAGATATGTCAAGGCATTGTTTACACTGGGTCATATTGTAAAAAGTACTACATCTCTGAGGTGTATTAATGTTTAACTGGATACAGAGATGAAGGAAACAAACGACATGGATGGGTAGTCACATTGCGATGAACAAAGAAAACCCACCCGGAGGTCGGCACTGAGGCGCTTGGTACCCCGATTTACAGACGGTTAGTCAGGGACAAACACCTACTGTCATCAAATCATCCAGCCGTAGAGATGACACAAGCTGGTAATAACCCATGTAATCGCCATGGGCATTTTGCCTAGCATCACTCGTGCGAGTTCAGGGGTGAAACAAGTGTACATGATGACTGGTCTATTGTACACATATACTTACATATTAAAAAACAAATTACGTTTTCATCTAAAATGATAGACAATTTCAGTGACAGTCTCATACCCCGGTCCAGTGCTATTTTGCGGTTTCCTATTTAACTGAGATAAACAAATAATGTTATTAGCATGCAAGAATGAACGTAGATTTGTTTTAAAAAATTAAGGGGTGTTGTGTGTTGAATTCTTAAAAGCTATAGTAGCGAAGAAATACAACCTAAATGTATATGAAATATGTCCACATACTATTTCATTCACATTCAGTTCAACCGTATCAGTTTCTCAACGTACAGCACAAAATGAATTTAGAGTTGTAACGCTTTCTGAAGTGCTATCGTTTTGCACTTTTTATACGCAGGACACACAGCTGCATTTTTTGTAGATTTTTTTTATTTAAGAGGTTTTCTTGAAGGAAACTCGGGATACATTGTAACTAAAGAAATAGTCATTGGCATATAGGAGTGATGATGCTTGTTATAATGCTGCTTGGCGCTATAGTATAGCGGGATGCCACACAACACAACCTCATACATTGCTATCTTGGCGCCTGGAAATATATTGATTGGATTACATAACAAATAGTCCTCTGTTGTGATATTTGTTTTCAGCCTAAATATGGAAGTCGGGGGAGGGTAGGCCAGGCGATGCTGTTCGACAAGGTCTGGAGTGTACGGATCAATGACACTGGTGCCAGAAAACATACAAAATTGTGTTTTCTATGAAGATACGTCACGTCTCTTCTGGTTATTGTTCAGCTTCATACGTAAATGTCGTGCACATGTATACGAACATGTAACGTCATTTTTTCTTGTCAAAACTTCTACTGCTTCGTTATAGCGTAAGGTTAGGGATTCTAATCTCCCCAATTTAATGTGGCATATTGCATTTGACAGATATAGCTCTTGAGGAAAGCTTGTATGTCACAATGATTGTTTTCTGGAGTTTTCGATGGTTTTACCATTTTTGTATTCCCGTCTACACAAATCATTCTTTGGAGTCCTAACTTCATCCTTTAAAATCACAGACTCTGTCTCTTAGCCTTGCCTACTGAGCATCCTAGCTCTATCTTTAAAACGACTCTTATCAATACCTCGTTCCAACCCATAATCTCGAATTTGCACCAGAGTCAATTCCTTTAAAATCCCACTCACAGCTTCTGTCTCGTACAGTATATATACTCCTACTTTTATGTCCCTTGTCTATTTCCCGACACAATTTGTTACATGGGACATGTAAACCCGATCTAGACACATCCATTGTTCAGTCAACGTCCTAGCCCCACTCCTTCATGTCAGTCTCCTATCTGTATATGGTATATGCACTGGACCATGACCTACACGCAACCATTTCGACTCTAGATTGTATTCACAGAGAGGTGAACGCGTTTCAGTGAATTTTAGATAGTAGTAAAGTTCAGAATTAAGACAAAATTAATTGAAAACAAGAAAATTGGTTGGATTATGGGACTTGTGTAAGTCCTCATCTATGTAGATAAGTTTTCAATTTCTTTCGTTGCCTCCCAGGTTCCATCACTTCAAACCCTTAACATGACGTTACTTAGTAGGTCGGTATAATGATGTGACTTAGCAGGTCGGTGTAATGATGTGACTTTACAGGTAGGTGTAATGATGTGACTTAGCAGGTCGGTATAATGATGTGACTTAGCAGGTCGGTATAATGATGTGACTTAGCAGGTCGGTACAATGACGTGACTGAGCAGGTCGGTATAATGATGTGACTTAGCATATCGGTATAATGATGTGACTAAGCAGGTCGTATAATGACGTGACTTAGCAGGTCGGTATAATGATGTGACTTAGCAGGTCGGTATAATGATGTGACTTAGCAGGTCGGTATAATGATGTGACTTAGCAGGTCGGTATAATGATGTGACTTAGCAGGTCGGTATAATGACGTGACTTAGCAGGTCGGTATAATGATGTGATTTAGCAGGTCGGTGTAATGATGTGACTTTACAGGTAGGTGTAATAATGTGACTTAGCAGGTCGGTATAATGATGTGACTTAACAGGTCGGTATAATGATGTGACTTAGCAGGTCGGTGTAATGATGTGACTTTACAGGTAGGTGTAATGATGTGACTTAGCAGGTCGGTATAATGATGTGACTTAGCAGGTCGGTGTAATGATGTGACTTTACAGGTAGGTATAATGATGTGACTTAACAGGTCGGTATAATGATGTGACTTAACAGGTAGGTATAATAATGTGACTTAACAGGTAGGTATAATGATGTGACTTAACAGGTAGGTATAATGATGTGACTTAACAGGTAGGTATAATAATGTGACTTAACAGGTAGGTATAATGATGTGACTTAACAGGTAGGTATAATGATGTGACTTAAGAGGTAGGTATAATGACGTGACTTAGCAGATCGGTATAATGATGTGACTTAGCAGGTCGTATAATGACGGGACTTGGCAGGTCGTATAATGACGTGACTTAGTAGGTCGGTATAATGATGTGACTTAGCAGGTCGGTATAATGATGTGACTTAACAGGTAGGTATAATGATGTGACTTAGCAGGTCGGTATAATGATGTGACTTAGCAGGTCGGTATAATGATGTGACTTAGTAGGTCGGTATAATGACGTGACTTAGTAGGTCGGTATAATGATGTGACTTTGCAGGTCGGTATAATGATGTGACTTAGCAGGTCGTATAATGACGGGACTTAGCCGGACAGTTAAATGAGGTCTATTGTATAGAACACTGTACAGATCCAATGAGTTTCTTCTAATCCGTGCTGTAGTTGCAGTGCCATCTTGGAAAACCTTGGATCCTTACATTTTTCTTACAACCATCCCCTTTTGAAACACCTAGGATCTTTACATTTTCTCAACAACCGGCCATTTTTGGCGGTGACGTTGTCCTTTGCATTCATATGTAACCTCATGTATATAATGAATGTCACACCCTGACAAAACTTTACTTTAACACTTACGACATTTGTCTGGGCTCTTTTCATTGCTCACAGAACAGGTCGTACATTTGGCCTTATGCTAACAAGATTTTATTCTGGAGCAAAATGGTAAAGAACTAAATATTGATATTGGTTAGAAAATATTGTATGAAATAATTCGTGTCCCAGATGCTTGTCTATGATTTAACATCCATAACTTTGAGATATAATATCAGAAAGATCGATGTACCTTTGGGTAACGGGTCTTACTCTCGTCCTGTCCAGTTCCGTTTTTATTAGTCAGGAAACTTATTAAATGCTGTTTTTATACGTGGTGAGTTAACTTTTAAGATCAGTTGCAAAATCCGTCCCCAGGTCGTGCTCCTTACACCCATGCATCTCACAAAGTGTGGAATACTAGGAATCTCACTCGAAAATCGATTTTATTCATTCTATTTGCTCAGTGAATTGATTAAAATTTCCTTTTTTCTTGCCATGTAAATGTAAGACAATGTTGAACACAAAACCGAAGGAGTTGTGTTTATTTGTACGCCATTGAATAACCGGCATGGTAACTTCCGTAACCACACAAACAAAATCACATTAAAAACATGCAATTGATTCCACACGAAAGTAAGAAATTGTAACTCCTTTTCACATGATTAAAATCTCTAAGTGCTTTTCTAAGTTCATATACAACAATTGATATCAATTTGGTCATTTAGTCAAGACACATCAGACACCCATCTTTTCCAAGACCGACAAAAGATGTGGTTTTGTCAGTACTCATATGACCAATGCTCGTTACAGTAGAGTCGAACACATAAGTAAGTGTAAGAGCCGATCACTTGGTTTAAGCGTGAAACTGTTTTTAGTTGGCATTCATAGGCATATGAATTTCAACAGCATAAGGACAAATTTAGTTAAGTACATCAGCACATCATGTTAAATAGCCCATGAATGACAACTGAAAGCTGTTCAATGACTATATTCAATGTTTGCGATTCTTATCTTATAAGGGAAGACAACCTAATGCCTAATGACACTTTGTTCTTTTTTCAGCTTGTCGGGGTCGATGTTCCGACCAAGGCTGTGATTCAGACAAGAGGTGCTACGAGTGTGCCGAACAGTGGTACGGTGAGGGCTGTGATCAGCTTTGTCCAGCATCTTGTTCTTTAACATCCGTCAAGATCAGCGAATTCGAATCCAAAAGCGTCAAATTATGTGATAGACTTAATGGCACATGCAAGGAACCATGTGCTGCAGGGAAGAAAGGCTCAAAATGTGAAGAAGATTGTAACAGCGGGTGCGAATCAGGCCAAATTGGGATACACAGCGGGAATTTCTGCAACCGGTACACGGGTGTGTGTGAGTTTGGATGTATAACTCAATATCATGGAACAACATGCGATCAAAGGTGTAGTGAAGGATGTAAATATCGACATACAAGCATATACGGACACATACAGAACTGTAGTTCCATCACGGGTGAATGTGAAAACGGGTGTATGCCAGGATGGTGCGGAAGAAAATGCACAAACAAATGTAGCGAACACTGCGTTGTCGAATTCAGCCATTATTACAGCAAAAACATACGCGAATGTGAGTGTGATGGTGAACGTGCTGGACGCTGCAAGAATGGGTGTGAAGCTGGCTGGTACGGGGACAACTGTGAGTGCATAGAGAAACTAGCCGGGTGTGACGTAAGAGGATGTAATAAAACAACTCGTGACTGTCTGGGCTGTCTGCCAGGGCTGTTTGGAACTAATTGCAAGGAATCGTGTTCAACAGGCTGTGTGGGATGCGATCGGATCACGGGAGAATGTCAGAATTGTAAGCCTGGATGGTATGGAGCCAAGTGTACATTGTCATGTAGTTCCGACTGCTTCAACAACACTTGTGAGCAGGAAACCGGAAACTGTCTTCCATGTCCTGAAGGCTATTTTGGTCGCTGGTGTAACTTGACATGCTCCAAAGACTGTGGCACACAGGGATGCCAGCGTGATAACGGAACGTGTTACCAATGTCCCGATGGGCGGTACGGCACGCGGTGTGAGCATGCCTGTTCGGAAAATTGTCAGGGATCTGGATGCGACAGATTTACAGGCGCATGCATCTCGTGTCAGGATGGATATACTGGTCTTACATGTGCATGTAGGGGCAACTGCATGAATGATGAATGTCCCGAATCAAGGTGCGTGTCCTGTCAAACCGGATTCTATGACGATAGTTGTGATGTAAGGTGTTCATCGCATTGTGTCGACGAAGCATGTGCTCGTTTGACTGGAGAATGCCTCGCTGGATGCGAGGATGGTTGGTACGGTGACAAATGTGAGTGTGTTGGATTTTGTGATACAAGTGGGTGTGATAAAGAAACTAAGTACTGTTTGGGATGTCAATCTGGATGGCATGGACTTTATTGTAATTCATCTTGTCCCTCTAATTGTGGTGAAAATGGGTGCAACATGTTCAGTGGACAATGCCATTTCTGTAAAGAAGGGTATTACGGATCCACGTGTTCATGTACGGGAGAGTGCGCCCAATCCGGCTGTTCGTCCGACGGAACTTGTCTAGAATGCTCTCCTGGATTTCACGGAAAACAATGCAGACAGGAATGTCCTGCAAACTGTTACGAAACCACTTGCGTTCGTGAGAGCGGAGTATGTAACGAATGTAAAACAAGATATTTTGGAGAAAAATGTCAGTCGTTTTGTCCCCAACACTGCAGGGATCATTCCTGCATTCAGTCATCTGGTGAATGTGAAAACTGTTCTCCAGGTTACTACGGTGTCACGTGTGAGCAGAAATGTCCTTTGCACTGTCTTGACGATGAGTGTAACCAGTCGACAGGGATGTGTAGTAAGGGCTGTAAGCCAGGCCGGTTTGGGGACCAGTGTGTGTGTACAGGGCACTGCGGAGATAAGGGATGCAACTTAAATGGAACGTAAGTAATTTTAGTAGATTCTGAGTTTTACATCTACTTAGTGCGTCTACTTTACTCATTTTGTGGAACAAGTCTGTATGTATAGCCTGCAGAGATGGTAAGGCGTAACTTGGCCAATTCAATTTACTCTATTCTTTGTATAATATTTCCAACATTTTTGAAATAAAGCCATGTCTTTTTTTTATTACAAAAAAATTATAATCAGATTTGTTCAATTGCAAATAATGCACTTTTATCAAATCAATAAATTCTTCATTGATGCAGGTGTACTGAATGTGCTGTCGGTTGGTTTGGAAGTGATTGTTCTGTTGCCTGTCCATCAAATTGTGCAGATACTTGTGGCCGAATGACCGGGGTGTGTGACGCTTGCAAAGAAGGATTTTATATGGCTAACTGTTCTTCTCGGTGCTCTGAAAACTGTAATGGCCCTTGTGAAAAAAATAACGGGACCTGCGCATCTTGTAAACCAGGCTGGTCTGGTGCGAAGTGCGAGTGCACTGGCTACTGTGACAGAAACGGATGTAGCAAAGGCGGACGCTGTTTTAATTGTTTGGGTGGTTACTTTGAAACAAACTGTTTACGACCCTGTTCTCAGTACTGTCTGAACTCGAAGTGTGCCCGACACACCGGTAATTGTCTAAACTGTCCCATCGGCAGATACGGGGATAAGTGTGATTGCACAGGTCACTGTGAAAATGATTCATGCTCATCAGAGGGTCGTTGTTATAAATGTGCCAAAAGTTGGTCAGGTCCGAACTGTACCACTAAATGCCCTCAGAATTGTGCTGACAACTCGTGTGATCAGCATACCGGCACATGTCTTGGCTGTAAGACAGGTTGGTATGGTCCCACATGCGAGTGTTCCGGAAATTGTGACAAAGCGGGTTGTAACCAGGAAGGAGTATGTCATACTTGTAAGACAGGGTTCCATGACGAACTTTGTTTGTCCATTTGTCCAACAGTTTGCGGTGACAAAGGATGCAACCGTCGTAATCCGCAACAATGTAACTGTGCAGAAGGCTGGTTCGGTGCCACTTGTGACTGTTCCGGTCACTGTGGTGAGGACGGATGTAACTCCACAGGCGGGTGTTACAAATGCGAAGGCGGATGGAGAGGAGCTCTTTGTACAAAACGTTGTCCGAAACACTGTAACGAAAACATCTGCAAACGGAATGGACGGTGTCATGCATGTGAGAACGGATGGTACGGTCCTCGGTGTAAATGCCGTGGTCATTGTCAGGTCAAGGACGAATGTAACAAATCGACGGGAATATGTTCGGAATGTGCACCTGGATGGTTCGGAGAACTTTGTGACCAGTCATGTCCTCGGAATTGCAGTGGGTCTGGTTGCCATAGACACAGTGGTAAATGTTACGGCTGCCAGAAACACTGGTACGGTGAGACATGCGAGTGTACTGGCCACTGTGATAAAACTGGCTGTAACAAAGTCACAGGACGATGTCATCAATGCGAAAACGGATTCTATGACAAGTTTTGTCTTTCGGCATGCCCTACAAACTGTGATGCCTCGGAATGTAATAGAACCTCCGGTGATTGTTTAGTCTGTAAGGCAGATTGGACAGGGTCAAAGTGCGAGTGTCGAGGTCCATGTGATGCTGGTGGATGTGATACTACATCCGCCCGTTGTCACAATTGCGCACCTGGTTACTTCGGAGATCACTGCGACGTGCCTTGTGGTGAAAACTGTACGTTGTGTGATAGACGGTGGGGAATTTGTCGTGTTTGTACGGACGGAACGTTCGGATTGAACTGTACAAAATTTTGTCCAGAGGAATGCGTCGGTGCATGTACCTTTACTAACGGTGATTGCGTACAATGTGAGAAAGGCAAAATGGGCAAACATTGTACTAAAAACTGCAGCAGTAATTGTTACGATAATTTGTGTTCGATCAATGGGACCTGCCGGTATGGCTGTATCAGCGGCTGGGATGGTTACAGCTGTGAGTTACAAAAAGATGAGCAGACGGTCACGTTTGGAATGTTTTGGATTGTCGTGGTTGGAGTTGCTTCCCTTATAGGAGTCGTACTGCTGGTAGTTCTTCTCTCCTGTATTCTGAAGTGAGTAAATTTACAGGCTGGTAGAGATACACATAGGTGTTACCAAGCAAGGCCTTAAAAGCTTATATCGCCTAGCAGGTCACCATTATCTGAATACAGGCTTTCCTTACGCGCTCAGTTGAATATAATTCATTATCCTATTGGCCATCTTATTCCGAGTGGAATTTTGAGCGGGGTTGTTAATTTCGAGTATTGAATTGAACCGCGAGAAAAGACACATTTGAAATAAAATTGATAAAAGAAACAATTCCATTTAATGTGTTCCGTAAAACACGCTGCTTTCTATCAATGTTTCGGTAAAGCTGCGATCATTCTATCCATCGAAAAATGATAACCCTTTACAGTGTTTTCTTCAAATGGTATTAGAAGATCACTGCGCCTTGTGTAAAGAAGTCTGACATTAGTGCTAAAAAGTTGTTCTACAGTATCGTTTATTTTAAAGTGTATTTTTCATTGGTCTCTAGGCGGAAGAGGACGTCTGATCAAAGTGTTGACTACGCTAACAACGCGTCAAAACCTACAAAACGGAAGCAAAGAAACTGGGGGACGATCGTACGGCGGACAGACACTCCCAGACCAGGACTCCGCCCAATGACTGTTCACGTGGCTAACGTCGGGAACCCTGCAGGTTATTATTTTTATTGAGATTATGTTTTTATGAGACGAAAAGTTCTGTAACAAAACATTACTCATTCTGGTGTTTAGAGTATTTAAGATCAATTGAAACGTGACGAAATTGCTCCATCGGCCCTGTTCTATATCTAGACATAAAAGAAGGATTCGGTGTTGAAGAACCGCATGAAACCATTTTGTTTTTGGGTGGGACGTCATTGATTTAGAAAAACAGGAAATCCGACCTGCTGATGTGTTCTTCATTTGAAAGCACTAAATGTGTAAGAGATTATGAAAAAGTGGTTAATTTAATTCGGACAGTTGATTAGTTGCTTACAAAAGAAAACTGTTAACAGCTTTACATGGACGAACGTATGACTAGATATATATTTGTTTATAGGGTTTATTTTATATCTATATGATTATTTCCATTCGATTTTGATTTGAATATAGCTTTATAAAACGTGAACGGAAAAAGAGTTTAAATTTTAACATTTTTGCATGGACCTTTTTTTGTTTCATCCCGATGTTTTTGTAAGTATAACAATTTGTTTTGTACCTCGCAACGGTACCATTTTATCCACCATGCATCCTGCCTGCTTGGTTTGCTTGACGTGGCTACATAGTTTGCCTTGTCCGTAGTTGTAGCGTATTTATACCTGGTTTTTGTTTTGTTTCCGTTTCAGCCGTTTCAGAACGTTATGTTATGGAGTAGAACAGATGGCCGTGTAGCTGATGATGCGGTCTATACCCACCGAACAGTCGATTAAAAATCACTATGAGAAACTGAGAGTGAGAAAACGTGTGTGTGTGTGTGTGTGTGTGTGTGTGTGTGTGTGTGTGTGCGTGCGTGCGTGCGTGTGTGTGTGTGTGTGTGTGTGTGTGTGTGTGTGAGAGAGAGAGAGAGAGAGAGAGAGAGAGAGAGAGAGAGAGAGGTCATGATGAAGCGAGACGGTGTTCGTGTAGAAGTATGAGAGAAACTGTCAGGGATGGACCATTGATTCCAATATCCTTCCAGGCGTGTTCCTTTCAATCGTTTCAATACGTTTGTTAATACCACCATACCTCGAATTAGACAACAGTCGTGTCATAATTTTGTAAATTCTTCATTAATTATCAGGAAGATAATTTGATATTGAAGTTGGAGGGCCAGATGTTACTTTTGAGGCTAAAATAGAAGATAACTGATGGCTGCTTTGATCCACACACCTGTTCAATATGTGCAATATCCATTTCATACATATATCAAGTCAGTTTCAAAACCCATTCGTCAGGTATATACAATTTGTATGCTTCCTACTTTTTAATGCTGTAGATGTATAGATGACATATAATAGTGTATAATTTTAAATTTTGTTTTTCTATTCCTCGATTTTGTTTAAAGATTTATTTCCTTGCCATAATAATTTTTTGCGCTTTCTAATTGTGTTCACAAAATATTCATTACGTTCTTGGTCTGTAAATTGTCTCTCTAGATCTTTTTATCTGTTTTAAACTTTTCCTTCATTATGGTCAAAGTTTGATGCCTCGAGGAAATGTTGTTCTGTTGAAAAAAGGTATAACTGAATCCTCACTTAACCAGGAGACGGAGACCGTAGTTTATTATTCCAAGACTCTCTATCCATTACAGACATAATGACGTGATAGTGACCCAGACGCTGAAATTGTTGCTGAATGAGAACATTTTCTGTCATGTCTTTCTTATCGGGATTACGTCGTGTGTCTGGGTTTCGTTCATCAGTAGCTCTAAAGGTTGTCAATCTATTTTGGCTAAAAAAAGATTGTTCAATCTCCTCGATACCTTTAACATCATTTAAGTTGCCGAGATAGTTCTGTTGTTGATTTGATCGACCTCATCCGTTTTCAGATAATTAATTTTTACTATACTAACCATTTATTGTCTTTTTATCTGCATGGTAAAATCTCCTATTGTAAACAGTACAGAATATACATTGTATATGACCCTAAACATAGCAGTTTAAGGCGATCACTTTCAGTAACTTTCATTTCAGTGTTGTAGACAACTGTCATATGTACATATAGCCATTTCATCATTAGCGGTGATCGCTATATTCCATGTTCATTAAAATATTATAGAGGTAAATGATAATATTATGGTCGTTATGATATTGTGTTTCATTCCTACTTGTATACATACATATAGAATATAGAACTGTACTCGCTAAGGTAATTTTTTGACTTCGTGGCAAAACATGACATTTAAGATAAGATATATTTTATATGAATAATGAAAACACTGAAGCGTTCTAAATATAAACCATGAATTGGTGCTAAAATATCATGAGAGGTGATTGACATGCAAACTTCAAATTTATACTAATGAACTTCTTCTCGGAAAATATCGACTGCTTAATACTTACAATCCTTCTTCTTTGATCTGTACATCTGTTTTGGTCATGTCCACCCTTTCCCATCATTACTTCACTTTAGACAAGGCCCACTATTTCCATTTATACTTCACTTCGAAAAAGGTCCACCTTTTCAAGTTTAATTAACTTGAGTAAGATCAACCCTTTCTGTTTATATTTACTTCCGATAAGGTTCTCCCCTTCCATTTGTACTTTACTTTAGCAAGGTCCAACCCCTGTCATCTGTACTTCGGTATAGGTAAGATCCACCCCTGCCATCTGTACTCCGGTATAAATAAGGTCCGCCCCCTACCATCTGTACTCCGGTATAAATAAGGTCCGCCCCCTGCCATCTGTACTTCGCTATAGGTAAGGTCCACCCCCTGCCATCTGTACTCCGGTATAGATAAGGTCCACCCCTTGCTATCTGTACTTCGGTATAGATAAGGTCCTCCCCCTGCCTTCTGTACTTCGCTATAGGTAAGGTCCACCCCCTGCCATCTGTAGTCCGGTATAGATAAGGTCCACCTCCTGCTATCTGTACTTCGGTATAGATAAGGTCAACCCCCTGCCTTCTGTACTTCGGTATAGATAAGGTCCACCCCCTGCCTTCTGTACTTCGGTGTTGGTAAGGTCCACCCCCTGCTATCTGTACCTCTGTATCTGTACTTCGGTATAGATAAGGTCAACCCCCTGCTATCTGTACTTCGGTTATAGATAAGGTCCACCCCCTGCCTTCTGTACTTCGGTATAGGTAAGGCCCACCCCCTGCCATCTGTACTTCGGTGTAGGTAAGGTCCACCCCCTGCCATCTGTACTTCGGTGTAGGTACGGTTTAAACAACCTTTTAAAATGCATCTCCTGACGGTTTTGGATTGTTGTGTACATATCGCTGTTTTTTTGGCGTTAACACCCATCACTCGCGGTTTACAAAAAGTTAAAAAGTAATATGCGAGAAACTGATATTAATGCATAAATGATACAGATTTCCATGGAATTCAGACAGCGTTTTGATCTGTTGCCATCGTAACTATTTTTGTGCAAGTTTTGCTAAGCGTCATTCCTAGATAACAGTCTCACTTACTAAGCATGCCGGTGAATATCGAGGATTGCTTTGTTAATCCTTGCGTGTGTAGGCATGGTTGTATGTAGTAATCTGTTTCAGTGATTTTTGTGTATCCTTCGTTCCTATTTTATAAATTCTTTATGAGTGAGAGCGATTTTTGATCTTTTGTAGTTGATATACATGAATACGAAACATTACTTATATTGTTTACCTACATCTTGTTTCTGTACTCAAACCGACAAAATCCATCTATTATTTGTGGACGACTATTTGATACCGTTGAACCCTGTGATCTGTACATAATTAATAAAACACTGTAAATGTGTTACTATTGTACATGAAAAAGCCACAATTTTTCTTAATTGCAATTAATATTGATAACTTTTTTTTTATAGATTTATTGTTTTAATTTTGTCGCGTTTTAAAAACAATTGATGATGCTTTTTTAGCGTAATGATTTTCTTTGTAAACTTAGGTGGTATCGCGATCTGGCATGTTGCACCGATGCGATGTATACTGTAGTACTGAGATTTGTCAGAGCATTCATATTCAAACGACCCGAGAGTACCTCAAATATAATGCTTAAGTTATTTATCATATAAAAACTCTCTTAGGACACCGGGGTTCATGTAAGTGCATATTCTTATTTAAAAGTCGTTCGATCTCTGCGTTGATGTGTTTGAGACGATAATTCGACCGAGTGTTGTTGGTAACAACAAGAACGGCTCGTTTGTATAGACTATGGTTTAAGTATCCAGTGTCTGATCAACTTAACTAAAGTTTTATCTTTTGATAGGTATGATTTAACAGTAAAGCGAGAAGAAACCCGTGCAACATGCCATTTTTTTGCGAATTATGACTGTGTTGATATTGAATGTGTTTTTTACTTGCTAACACAATTAACTTTTATATTTTACCTATAGATAATACTCTATATACTTTGAACTGTGTATGAAGAGATCATTGAACCAAATAATTAGTTTCCCGATACATTCCTATGATAAAAGTGTGTTTTCACGAGCTGTCCATTTAATGTTATATTTCAACAATGTTCTACATACGTACCGTATAAGACATAATACAAGCTGAGGGGATGAGAAAACAATTTTGGAGCAGTTTTCACTCCGAGTCTGATATTATGCGTATTAAGAAATCATAAATACTAAATGTAAACTCTCAATGGTCTATATTTTGAGGGATTTTCTCTCATCCTTCGATGGGTTTACGTTCAATTTGGCCGTGGCTGATATTTAAAGTGATAAGAGAACATAAGACATGTATTTTAAAAACGTAGAGCTGTATGTTACAATTCAAACAAATACTTCCTCGGGCGGCAACTGTTGTTTATAGGTATTTGAATTAAAGCCTGCGTGTAAGATTTTATCGCAATGTTTTTTCTCTAGATAAACTTTCGAAATTTGTCCGTATATTTAGTGTACAGATGGCCAGGATGTATTCAGACAAAGATCAGTTAAATCAACAAACTGAATGTTTTTAAAACTTTATTTCTTTAGAATATTTATTTACTTCCCCGAGACCGTTACTGTATTCAAATCAAATACACTTGGATGGTAAAGTAATATGTCTTTACCCTAAGGTAACTGACAAAAAATATCCGGTTTATATAGATAAGCTTTGCTTCTACACTTTCTAGTCGAGTAGAAATCTTGATCAGCATTATCGTAGGTCACAAGTTTTTAAAAAAATCACTAAGAAAAATAATTTGAAAGTATTAAATTTAAGACAGCTTGACCCAATCATATTTCGTGTTTCTCTCAACATCACTGATAGAAATATCCTCTTGACAAAGCAGAAAATCACCACGGTATACGTTTTGTGGTGATTCAGCACTTCTTGTATGTCAAAACCAGTAGCGGAATGCCTCTTTGTTGGTATGTCATTAGTGCTTTTGATATGTTAAATAACCTTATTACTTACGTTGTGCCAAACTACATCGTCTTTATTTAATATAGATCTCAGTCGACAAGCAGTCGTCGGCAAGAAAGGACCTTAAGACATCTGGTTGTTTTATTGTTCAGTCTTAATATTCATTTGAAATAAAATATCTTTTTCCATCCTTTGATTTGTGTCATTCTGTTCTTTTTACTAGATTTTCAGCTCTATGGATGAATTCTCACCAGATCTAACATTAACTGTAGATTGAATTATGACGTATAATGACTTATTGTAAACCGTACTTGTTGCTATGTGCCCCGAATATTCCGAATGTAACAAGTCTATATATATAACATGTTGACGTATGAACGAAATGAAGTGATTGTGAACAGTCCTAGCTTAATACCATTAAGCACTTGTTACCAATTATTTGTTTACGTGTCTTCCTAGATACACTTTCTGAAAATTTAACAGGCCATTATGACCTCTCGCAATTGTCACGATAATTCACCAAG